CTTCTTCTTCTTTGATACTCTCAAAAACCCCTGCTGGGGTATCACTGCGAGGGGGGGGGGGTAGTGACGGACTATGGCTGCGCGGCTAGGACTCCGGCCTTAAAGGCCTCTACTGTCCGGGATTTTACTAACTGTCCCGGCAGCTTATTCCACTCTTTTATGGTTTGTGGAAAAAAAGAAAATCTGAAACAGTCTGTTTTGGCAGGTATTACTTGATATTTATATTCATGACTTCCTCTGGTGCGCCTATGGGCAGGTTTGAGATATCTGTGTTTTGATTAATCTCCAAGCAGATCCCTTTCGGTGGCAAAAAGGCAGTATCAAATTGGCCAGGCAGTATCCATTAGCCACCGACGGTGGGATTAGCGACAAAAAATGGCCATATATAAAAAGCTAATGATAATTCCCCCACAACCTCTGCTTGGAGAGTATGATTTGATATCAAGTCACCAACTCTGATAACTTTCATCCAAGGAACAAGACAAGACAAAAGGAAAGATTGTGTAAGGTATTCAGCGATTTAATTATTGGAGCGGAAAATACCTGTAGTTACATTTTCACAAAAATTACAAAAAAGTTTTACTTGTATACGACTTATTGTCTACAATTTCACTGGCGTAAAGTTACTTCATACTGTTGGAAACTGAATCACATCAGTCATTTTACACTGGTGCAAATTTTTAATAGCACAAACAAATGCTAGTTTGCAGAGTTGATATTAGTCAAAAGATATTTGTAGTTAGAGAGATCCTAAGCCTAGTACTAGGTTTGGGTTGGCATTAGGAAGGGCATCCAGACATAACAAAATCTTGCTTCAAAAAGACTTGCTCTTGATGCAAGCACGTCTTACCCCCATTTCAAGGAAAAAAGACAATAAACTGGACAGAGAGAGAGAGAGAGAGAGAGAGAGAGAGTACATATAGGCACATGCTTCGTCGAGCAATTTACACGTATTAACAGGAAAATCTCTTTTATTGATGCAAACTCAACACTAACCTCTACGTTTCAACTACCTTGTACAGTCACTTACAGTTATAGATGTTAATTACTGACTATGCATATGTACATTATCCAATGAATACAATCAACTTGACTATTCTTCCACAATTCTAGATAGCTAATAATAAATAATAATTCTTAGCCAATCAAATGAGTTATACTTGTAGTATCAATTATTTTGTAACAAAAAGTCATCTCTTTTAGCCATCTAGAATTGTGCTATACAGTGTAAGAAATACATTTACTATGACATTTACTCAGCCATTTTGCAAATTCTATCCAATTTTATGTTATAACCTAATGTTTTTGGGTATTGATGCTATATATCTATATCCTTAAGCTTAGTATAAGAGACAGAACTATAGTTCAAGAGAAGATGATATGATATAAATGTCACTACGAAATGGTCACATTGTGAATTCTCATATGTCGCGTAATGGCAGACTTAGAGGCCGCAGAATAGCTACACTGGTCACACTTGTAGGGTTTTTCTCCTGTATGTGTTCTCATATGTCGGGATAAGTTGCCCTTTTGAGTAGCCCTGTACCCACACTCCCCACACATGTAGGGTTTCTCACCAG